AAACAGAGGGCAAATCGTTAATCTATAAATTGTCACTTATGTAAGATCTGGGCAAGAAATTTCACATTGGTTTTCCTGAATAACAGCAGCGTGTCCTAATACCATGTTGTTAATACGTTAATCACGAGGTTATTCTGTCTCTGCCTCTCTCGGAAAGAGTGCTGGCTTTCGGCACCGGGGCAGATGGCATAGGAGTCCTCGCGAATTCAAAATACAGATGCCTGCCCATCTGAAAAGTCACCCAGACACTTTGGGAGCCCAAACCTCCACAGTGTGGCCCCCCCCCCCCCCGTAACTGAGCAGGAAGTGGTTTTTCCAAGGCATCACTTTCTCGATCACTTTCTCGTAATTCACAGGCTGTCCTGCAAGAAGATGGACTAAAATAGCACCTCCCGAGTGAACAGACAGCCATCTCTCTGTCCGTTATTAAGCAACACAGAATCCTGCCCTGAAAAATCACACACGTTTAGGAATTCCTCGTTGCTGATGCCTCATTCTGATGTGGCATAAGGTCACTTTCCTCTCTCCTGTGGGTGGTTCTGCTGATTTATCTCATTCGGGTGAACCCAGACCTCCCTGGAGTTTGTTCTCCGTTCCCAGATTCTAGCATTTATGGGAAACCTAATCAGTCGGGAAGGGCCGTCTGGCTGGGCGGACCGGAAGGACCAGAGTTTTTCGAACCAGACATTTTCTTAAGTCACTGAGCAAGCATCCAAGGAGGCAACTCTGCCCCCTTGCAAGATGCAAGGCCGGGGTCCTCTCAAAGGCAGCACCTCTTGTTCCCAACAAAACCCTAGGAAGCAAAAGTGTGAGCTGTCGGCCGGGGCGTCAGGAGCCCGTGGGGCCGATGTGGGTGTACTGACCCATCGTTCCCACCGACTCTAAATCGGCTCCTACGGCAGAATCTGCTCCTGCCACGCCTGAAACGAGGTGTGAGTGGCCACGCCTGAAACGAGGTGTGAGTGGCCACGCCCTCAACACTTCCCCCAGACAGGAGGGCCCAGGGGGTTCTGGGTAAACAAACTCACAACAAGCAAGGCCTGTGCCCTGCTTCCCGGGGTCTGGCACTTCCTCCAGCAATTGTGGGGGGAGTGGCCAAGGAGCCACGTGTGTCCAGAGGAAAGCTCTTCATCCCAGGGGCCAAGGGACACTGGATGGCAATAGAGCAAGAGCAGGGCTGGGCAAATGACACAACCGTCCCTTGTCCCAGCCAGGCCATCCCCACTGGCCCGGGCTGTTGAAATGACACCTCATTGGGAGAGAAGCTCCGGAGCTGACCCAGCTGGGGTCCACGCAGGCTGGGGGCGGAGCGTGGAGATGGGGCTCTGCCCTGTGCCGGAGGGTCCTGTCTCTCTCTTTTTCTCTCTCTCCCCGCCCCCCCACTCCTTTCTTTCTTCTTGCCTTTAAAAAAAACGTGGCCCTGGCTGGTATGGCTCGGTTGGAGCGTCGCCCTGTAACCCAGAGGTTGTGGGTTTGATCCCCGGTCTGGGCCTGTATGGGAGCAACCAACTGATGCTTCTCTCCGGCACCAGTGTCTCTCTCTCTCTAAAAGCAATGAAAAAAACGCCCTCAGGTGAAGATAAAAGAGACAATGCAGCTCACAGACAACAGGACAGAGACAACATAAACCTTTATAAGGAAAAACACCCTCGCCTTTCAGGTCTGGAGCTCATCAAACCGGATCAGTCTGCGGGGCACAGCAGCGCTTGGGATGGGATTTTCGAAGCTCCCACCCCCCCCCCCCCCCGCAAATTTTCACTTTATAGCCCCGAGGTATTCAGTCTCCTGGCTGAAAACCAGAGCATTCTGCTGGCCCTCCCATTTGAGTTCAGTTACTCTCCGGAAAATCAAATTGTCTTTATTTTTAGCAACCCTATCTCATTATTGCTCTGTTGACCTTTCAAAGGGCTAACAGGCTCTTAGTCCACTTGCCAAGGTGATTTGACTTCCCCTTGGGAAAGTGCGGGGAGGATGTCTCCAGTCAAGTACATCCAGAAAAGCCCCGCGGGAGACGTTTCTGGGAGACTCGCGGTGCGCTTCTGCACGTGGGCAAGGGCGAGAAGTCCCGCAGTGACCAGCTTCTCTGGAACCTACCTGTCCTCCACACCAGACAGCTGGCCACACAGCGTCCCAGGAGGCAGTCACTGGGAAACACTGCCCCAGATCCCCGCCCACTGAGCCCCACCCTGCCCACCCAGGACTGTGCTTCAGGGGCTCTGTGAACCCAAATGCAAGACCCAACATTGATTCGTGAAATGCGTCGTCTTGGTACCTCAGCCCCACCCACCCGGCCGGACAAGGTGTTCACGGAACTTGATTCCAGGAACCCTGTTTGTCTTGGACACACGTCTCTCTAGCCACCGCTTCCACAAGCACATGCATATCTGCAGGAAAAGGGGAGCCCCCAGGGGCAGCCGGGCCCCCAATACAGCCAGCGGAGCCCCACATGCACTGCCCCTCCTGGGAGGCCACCCCCCGGGGAGAAGTCCTTCCAGGGCGTCAGAGATGAGTTTTGTGTGGTTTCCAAGGCGATTCATTCATTTGAAGTTGTTTTTCCATCAAATGGCTCCAAAGCGAAAAATCATCACTGGGAAGTTGAATTATGACCTAATGCCGGTAGCAGCCCCTGTGGGTAACTCCAGGGGAAGGGGGTGGGGGCTGGTGTCTGGGAGTCGGGGGCTCATTAACACTCACTTCTTAAATTAGCAAGTCCTTCTAGCACCTGTTTAAAAATAGCAACCTAATGGTTTCTAAAATTAGCAGTCATTGCTCTCCATAAATATTTAGACCTCCAATAAACTTCTGGTCCACTTCCCTAGACTAATGGGGTCAAGCAGGCTTAGCTTTCATGCGCATTCCTTAGGATCAGTATAGTTAATGGACGTTGACCTTGACAAGAGCTGTGAGAAGCCTCAGAGAGTCCTGGACCAGGGACAGCCTGTGGGGCCCGTCAGCCAGCAGGAGACCTCAGGCCAGACTGGGAGGGTCTCAGAAGACATTTGGAGAAGTCCTCCACCTCCGAGCTGCCTGGAGGAACAAGCCGCCCTGATGTGCCTGGGACTGCCCTGATTTCAACCCTGAAAGTCCCCTGTCCCGGACCACCTCTCGGTCCCCAGCAAAGCAGAACAGTCCATCACCCTGGGCACTGCGCTACTGCACCAGGCCCAGCTCTGAGATGTCTTCAGGGAGGAGAGAACATGGATGGTACCCTCTCGGTTCTCACGCTAACTTCAGTCCTATGGTGCATGTGTGAAAGAGCAAATAAACCATGGGAAGGGTTGGTCAGGCCGGCCTAGAATTTCCACCCCCCTGCAGCCAGTTTCCCCGCATGTAGAACACTGGGGTGCTGCGGGGAATACCCTGGGCAGCCCGCACCCCTGCCGGGGAAGTGCCTGCCACCACCGAGGCCCGGTAAGTGGGTGCGTCGGCGTCGGCGTTAGCGCTCCTGGGCACCAGGTGCTTCAGATAGGTCGGGGCAGCGGCCCTGGCCCCGCCCACCAGACCGTCTTCCCCAGTGGCCCCTCCTCCTCCCCAGCTGTGACCGAGGAAGCCAGTAACTGTGTGTGTGTGTGTGGGGGGGGGGTTGGGGGACAGGGGCCTCCCCAGCCCCGAGCTTAGTACCTGCACAGAGTGCATTTGCACAGTGGAGGGAAGAAGGCTTCCAAGGAAAGCCTTGTGAGGAGAGGCACGTGGCCAATCAGCAGAGCGTTTGTGCAAGAACACAGGTGCCGAACAATCACTTAAAACGCCTGCAAAGTCCTCAACCCTGTCCCCCCATCGGGGGGACCGTGCGTCCTGTGGGCACCGCGTCCTTTTGTGGTTGCCTGGTTTTGTTTGTGTGCTCACCTGGACGGAGCCGGGGACTGCCTGCCACAAGGCTAAGACATTTAAAGCCTCTGCTTACTTTAAAAGCCATCTTTTGAAAAAAAAAAAAAGATGATGGTGGCACATAGCACTTGTTTGTTGTAACAAACAAGTCCGTCATCGCAATGTAGGGGGTTTCTTCACTACGGCCCAGACCTGGAGACAGGAAGGCTGTGGGTCCCCAAAGACAGCGGCCGGAGCGGCTGCCGCGCCTGGGAGATGCCCTGCCAGCCCAGTGCTGCCCCCTGCAGCCTTCCCGCTGAAGTGCAGGGCATTTCTCTGTACAAGAAAGCAGCAGGTTTTGCCTACTGAAAGCTTCACCAGTGTTGAATACTTAAGTGACTTCATTAGCTTAGAAACTTTCTCTCTTCAGAAGACAGTTGGGGACCATGAACCCCACCTCACGCTACAGAGGGGTATGAGGCGCCCCTCAGGCTGGGCGGGAGGGTCACTGGTTAGTGGTCTTGGCTGCAACACCTAAGGAGCTGGCGACCTTGGTAATCCCTGTCCCCTGACGTCAGTGGGCAGTCTCTAAGGTCACATCCAGCTCTGGGATTCTGGAAGGCAACACCTGACCTACGGATGCTAAACTCCGCCCTCCCTGAGCACTCCGGGGAGACTCCCAGCATCTGAAAGTCTTTTGCTTTAAACAGTCGGTCCAAGGCTGTTTGCTGACTCATATGCCATATAGACGTGAACCCTGTCAGTCCATCTGCTGATGGACCAACAGCTGGGGTGGTTACTGACGACACAGAATAAAATGAGGGTCCAGGCCGCAGAATTGTTTGAGGGTGGGCACGAGGTAGGGCTTCTCGCACCTGCCTGGTAAGTGCAGAGAGATAAGAAATCGTGCCCTGGCGTGCCCTTCCCCGGGCTGAGACTGCAGGGGCTCAGCCCGCCAGCCTCCCTCTGTCGCCCCTGCCAGGAAAAGTGTCATAGAAGAGCAGCTCAGTCGTTCACCCAGTGACGTCTCGGAAACTATTTTTTTTTTTAATATGCTGATTGTCCTACCCACTGCCCATGGAAAACCCGGTTTCCGTGGCAGGAATAAACGCACCGAGATAATATTTAACCCATTTCCTCTCTCTCCCTTCCACCTCCTGGCTTCATTAGGACTCCAACGGGCGCCTGAGCGAGCGCGGCAGCCACCCGGGGCCATGGCCAGCACCGCCGTGCAGCTGCTGGGCTTCCTGCTCAGCTTCCTGGGCCTGGTGGGCACGCTCATCACCACCATCCTGCCGCACTGGCGCAGGACGGCGCACGTGGGCACCAACATCCTGACGGCCGTGTCCTACCTGAAGGGGCTGTGGATGGAGTGCGTGTGGCACAGCACGGGCATCTACCAGTGCCAGATCTACCGCTCGCTGCTGGCGCTGCCCAGTGACCTGCAGGCGGCCCGCGCGCTCATGGTCATCTCCTGCCTGCTGTCGGGCGCCGCCTGCGCCTGCGCCGTCATCGGCATGAAGTGCACGCGCTGCGCCAAGGGCACGCCGGCCAAGACCACCTTTGCCATCCTGGGCGGTGTGCTCTTCATCCTGGCCGGCCTGCTCTGCATGGTGGCTGTCTCCTGGACCACCAACGACGTGGTGCAGAACTTCTACAACCCGCTGCTGCCCAGCAGCATGAAGTACGAGATTGGGCAGGCCCTGTACCTCGGCTTCATCTCCTCGTCCCTGTCCATCATCGGCGGCACCCTGCTCTGCCTGTCCTGCCAGGACGAGGCGCCCTCCAGGCCCTACCCCGCCCCACCCAGGGCCACCACGGCCACGGCCACGGTGCCCTCCTACCGGCCACCTGCTGCCTACAAGGATAACCGGGCCCCCTCGGTCATCTCAGCCACGCACAGCGGTTACAGGCTAAGTGACTACGTGTGAGTTCCTGGGCCTTTCCCTCCCTGAGCCCTGAGAGGGACCAGGACCCGGGACCCTGGCACAAAGTTTACTTCTGGGCTGCTTTTGTGCCCAAAAGAAGAATGTGAACGTGAGGAAATGGACTTAGAGCACGGGGAACCAGGGAAAACAAGAGGAGAGAAGCTCTGCATACCAAAGACTAAAACAAGAAACTCTGTTTTTGTATTTATTTTATGTATTTATGTGGGCGACTTAAAAACAGCCGATTGAAAGCAGCTTGGGAGTTTGGTCGGGGGATTTGGTTGCGATACAGGAATAAACCTTTTGGCTGTGGCTGTTTATGAAACGGACAGTGCTCGTTTCTGTTTCCAGACTGTTAGTGTCCGCGACGGTGCTGGTAACCAGGGCGGTGCGCCAGGGCCGCATCGCAGGGCACTGGAGCCTCTCGGGGAGTGGCCAGGACCCCACGGGACCGGAAAGCCAGAGGCGGGCTGGGCCGAAATCCATCCAAAAGAGGCTTGGGCAACCCCACCCTAACCAGGTGCCACATCCTGGCTTTCCCCCCTGAGGCAGGGCAGGAAGTACAGGACTTCCCTGGGATAAAGGTAATTGTCCTAAATCACAAAGTAAAGACACAGTCATTTTCTACCGGTAAGCAGCAGGCCCCTCCTCGTAAGGAAGCCCCTCGGGAGGAGAAAGCGACAAAGTGAAACCTGCTTGGTAGCTGGGCCTTCCAGGCATTGGCAGGGAGCCCGGTCAGGGGCGCTGCTCACTCCCGGGGCCCCAGCAGGATGGACGGAAGCAGGATGGCAGCAGCCGTCGGGACAGGGACCAGAGTCTATTGACCGTTCTGTTAGCAGAAGGGCTGCTGGGAGGGCCAGGTGAGGGCTGACTGCTTTAGGATCCGATGATGCTTGCTGGCCGGGGTCCGGCTCACCGGGTCAGAGAGCTGCACATGACCGCACACGAACACACACACATGCACACACATGCACACACACCCATGATGTGCCCTGAGGGTGCCCTGCTCGTGCCTCTGTCCCCACCTCCAGCTCTGACTGTGGGAGGAGACACCCTGCCCTGCGGAAGGGCTGAGTCCGAGACCCACACACAGAGCAGCGGGCACCTGAAGCCCCTCGTTCTCAGCAACGTTAGGGAGTGGGGCTGAGGGACAGTCTCACATGCATTTCTCTTCTATTTCTTGCTGACCCCTGGGAGGAGGGGCGGGTGCTGTGCGTTTTAGCTTTTATCTGAGCACATGGAGGGTTGGAGACCTGGGACCTGCTATCCCAGGGAGGCTATGAGTTTGGATCAGGAAGATCACCCTTTATTTACGACGAAACAAGCAATTTGAACCTATTGTTTAAATTGTAAAAAACACATTTGAATCAATAAAAAGGAAGTAAAATCTTCTAAAAATCGAACGATGTTCTCTCAGCCCTGCCTCAAGGTCACAGTTCAGAATGTTCAGTGATGTTATTCTGGTTAACAGACCGATTACAAATTAAAGAAAAAATAAAATAGCTTTCCTCAAACTCTTTCTCTGAATTCTATCCCTACGAAAATAAAGTGTCCCTTTCTCCTACTCAGGTGAAAGACTAACAATAATAATGATTACAATTTACTGAGTACCTGCGCTGTGTGAGACATACTTTTTGTTTTCTCATTTGGTCCAATGAGACACATGAGAACCCAATGAGATAAATGCTATTCTTAACCCCATTTGACAAAGAAGATAATTTAAAGCACATAGATATTTGCCCAGGGTCACAGAGCTAGTGAGTCAAAGGCCCAGGATTAAAACCCAGACAGGCAAGCAGGGGGCAAGTACAGTAACTGAGGTAAGGCAATGACCTATAGTCTATATACATTTACGTCTAGACTATTTCCAAATGATTAAGTGGACTATTTATGGCCAGAGTTGGCTCCTTCCAGCACCATCACTCTGCCAAGCTACAGTTAGCTGGGTTCTGGTTGGATCGGATGAAACGTATCAGACCCAGAAGTCCAAGTTTGAGTCCAGATAGAAAGCAGGAAGCGACCCACAGACACGTCTGTCCCACAGCTGGTCCAGCAAACAGGATGTAAACCCAAGTAGGACCTTGAGCGCCTCCCTCAAGCACCAGGTTGTATGAGCGTGGTTCCCAGCTCCCACTTGCTGCGTTGCTCCCATTCAGCCCCAAGACAAGCACCCGGGGTCCTCTGAGCCCCTCCCTGGCCACGTTGCCCCCCGGGCCATTGAGTAGACGCCTGTTGCTGCCCACATCTTTAGCATGAGGCAGGTTGAGCCAAGGGGGTCCTGACAAAAGTGTGCGCCCCTTTCAAAGGTAAAACCCGCAGCCCCAAATCTCAGACTGGGAAGGAAACAGGAGTCAGACTCAGATGTTTCCCGGGAAACCATTGTTAGGGATAGAAATTACAACCGATGCTCATGGGACGAAACATGCTGTTTCTTCACTTTTCTTGAATCCAATCTGGCTCTGAGGTGGGGATGTCCAAAGCCAGAGATGTCCTTTTCTGTCCACCTGCATTTAGGAGGCCCCAGGACCCCTGGACTTGGGGAAGGGGTGAAGCCCAGCATTTAGTCCTTGGGGACACCCTGATGACCCGTGCTGACTGCCAGGTGCCCGTGCCAGCACAGCCTGGGATGTCCCCGTGCTCATCCACCCCCACAGTCATCCACGGGAGCCCTGGCCACCCCTGGCCCGGTGTGTGAATAGGCACTGGAACCTTCCACCCTATGAGGCCTTGGGCAAAATAACCCTTGTCCCACTTCCTGAGAGGAAGCCACTCCCCTCCTAGGCTCAAAGCACCTGAGTGTCCCTCTTCATGGACAACACTTTCTAATTGCTTTCGGGGGCTTCTCTGTTTGAAGTCCAGGCCCCGGAAACCTCCCAGACAACCCTGCTTTCGTGTCAGCTCTTCTTGACCTACTCGGAAATAATCTGAAACCCACAACACTCTTGCAGTTGCATAGTAACAGCCCACTCCTTGATAGTAATAAGCTGAAATGGAGCCAGGGTTTGCACCTGAAACGTCTGGCCACGAAACCCCATGCTTGGCCACAATGCCATCTGGCTCCCCCTGGCCTCCAAGTCTCTTTGCTTTCTCACTGCCAGGCAGTGACACTCAGGGCAAGAGATGGGGGTCTGGAGCATGCAGCCACCATGGAGTGGGGAGAAGGGATCGGGACGTGTCTGAAGGCAGAGCTAGCGGGATTTACCGATGGCGTGGTTGTGGATATGAGGAAAAAGAGCCTTAAAGGGCGGCTCCCAGATCTGGGGCTGGACTGACTAGAAAAATGGAGTCACCATTTTCTGAAATGAAGACTCTGAGAAGAGAGGGCTCCAGTCTGCTAGGGTAGACTGCTTGTTCTGCGTGTTCGGTCTCAGCTGTCTCAGGGGAAGACGTCAGGATGTGTAAGCTGGAGTGCGGGGAGAGGTGGATTTGGGAGCCGTTAGCCCGGGAATCTTCTCGAAGCCAGGAGCTAGATAGAAGAGGTCATACTAGTGAACATAAACGAGGAATTTAAGGGCTGACAGGGGGTGTGTGTGGGAGCTGGTGTGTGCAGGGGTTCCCATTCAGATGGGGAGGGGTCCTAGTGAAGCAGGCAGATGATGAACGGGTGGTGAGCCGGGACAAGGAGGAGGGCCGCTCTGGAAGGCCGGGGAAGGGCGCCATCGGCAGTGCTAAATTAGTGCTTCAGGCTGCACAGCGGCTAGGAGGGGAGGGCGCAATGGCTGTCTTCATTCCACAGGTGAGGAAATGGGGCTTGAAAAAGTGAGGAAACTTTCTGAGGAGTGCTAAACGGAAGACTCAGCTGCCCGTATGGAGAACATAAAACTGAGATCAGAACACCCTTGTTTCCAGTTCATACTGGTACAATAACCATTTAAAAATATGCATGTTCTGCCCTGGCTGGGCTGGCTCAGTGAGTTGGAGCACTGTCCCGTAAACCAAAAGGCTGCAGGTTTGATTCCCAGGGCACTTGCCTGGGTTGCAAGTTCAATGCCCAGTTCGAGTGTGTACAAGAGGCAACTGATCGATATTTCTCTCCGTCTCTCTCTCCATCCCATTCTCTCTCTCTAAAATCAGTAAGTATGACCTTGGGTGAGAATTAAGAAGTATATATAGAAATACATTTGTAGATGTATTTGCATGTTCCTCCTGCCTCTGCATAAGCCTTAGGCACACCTGGGCACAGGCGCCTCCCCAGGTGACAGAACAGGGTCTTCTCGCCAGGTGTCTAGCAGTCCCAGACTCGCTGGTGACCATGGACTCTGCCTCAGATCAATACTTTTACATATAAAGAAAAAAAATAAATACATAAGATTTAAAAAGAAAACCAACTATATTGAAATATATTATCAAGATATTTAAAGACTATGACATAGTAATATTCATGCTCCTTTATTAATACACTCATGACAATATTCAGCAGGGGTCTAATAAATACCACCATTTGAAAGAAGTAGTGAGCATAAATGAGAGTTTAAGAAGTCTGCAACAGCTGTAATCTAGTGTGAAACTATCGTTGATTCCCCAACAGTGAGACAGTCACAAGGTCTAAAACACACCCCCCAAAGTAAAGCAACTTGCTCAGGTGAGTTGAAGATACAGTTACAACCCCTTCACTTCATGGAGTGGACAGAAGTTCTATCACAGAGCTGTTCACCAGAAATGTATATGTCATTAGCCAATGTTACCCCCATAAAGTTAATTTTAAAAACACCTTCTCTTGAGAAAATGTGCCACTGGAAATGCAAGTTTTATTCTGCACATAAGCGATCATTTACTTAAGTAAACCCTAAGGGCTGCCTTGGGACCCCAGAGGACCTTACGTGTGTGTGTGTGTGTGTGTGTGTGTGTGTGTGTGTGTGTGTTGGGGGGTGGAGTGGAGCATCATTCCTGAAGACAGAAGAAACCTGGGTCCAGCATTAACTCTCAGAGTATCCCTCCCCTGTCTGTCCAATGAGTACAATGATAAAACCCAGGCTTGTTGGTTGAGCACACAGTAAGAGCCA